CTCCTGCACACCCCCTACTGGAAATGTGCTCACAACCAAGGTACGTGTCCTTGACCAGAATCGAACCTGGGACCGTTGAGTCCACAGGCCGACACTCTATCCATTGAGCCAAACCGGTTTCGGCTGCAATAACAATCTTGATGACTGTTTATGGGGTGCCCTGATGTGAGGCCTCTGTTCTAGACACTTTACTCATTGTGGCTCAATCGGTAACCTAACAAGTGAGGAAACAAGGCCCAGAGAGGTTGTATAACTTGCTAGGATCACTCACCTCCAGACCCAAAGCCATGCTATTCCCATCTCACCCTGATGCCTCTATGCACGTCCTTTCCTTGGGCTAAAACCCTGTTCCCATTATCTCAACTTGCCTCGAGTTTCTTCCAAGGCGTTGGAGAGCTCTCCACTCTGGTCTGAGGTTGGCCTTGGGCACCACTACCTTGAGCTTCTACTTTCCCTGTGAGTCACGCCCTCTGGTCAGCTGTGAGGGCTCCCAGGCTGTCATCTTCTGTAGGTCGTGGGCCTTGGGAAGGGTTGGTGCTGCCAGTGTCATGATTAGCATGAGACAAGCAAGGTGCGTACTGCAAAACTTGGGAAGGTGCTTATGCTTGGGCTGTGTGAGTGCCTCTGCTGGCAGCAGCTGGGCGAAGGCTGAGGAAAGCAGACACAGGTGCTGTTGTGGATGAGCCCGGGAGTCTGAAGGTGAGTCACCCAGCAGGAGAGTCCACTTCCGAGAACTCTCTCCTAGCGTGTTTGGGTGTGGAGGTGAATCTATCAACTGATTAATATATTGTACCTTTATCAATATATTATTACCTTCTGCTCTTAGTTACTAGACATTATGGTACATCCCGGGTGATTAGGAATCCTTTCATGAAGGACTCTTGCCCTAATCAAAGGATATTAAACCCAAAGGTTATCGAAGTGTTAATCTTTGAAATAAAAGGAGGAGTAGGATGTATCACTTTAACCAGGCTTACATGCCCAACGTTGGATGTATAAGACCCAGTGAAATCCAAACTATGACAGGGGTGACTGAATAATTGATGGTCATTGCTACCCTCCCACTAACCCAGTGGTCGGTCAACAGAGCCAAATACCAACAGTACAACGATTGAAATTTCTTTTGAGAGCCAATTTTTTTTTAACTTAAACTTCTTCTAACACCACTTCTTCAAAGTAGACTCGCCCAAGCCATGGTATTTTGTGGAAGAGCCACACTCAAGGGCCAAAGAGCCGCATGTGGCTCGAGAGCCGCAGTTTGCTGACCACTGCCCTAGAATATCAGGAGGGGCCACCTGTTATTTTTTCCCCCCCAGTCAGCATCGGCAACATAAATATGTTGATGACTTCAAGTATTTGTTACCTTGAAGTAACCACCACAGTGACAATGTTGGATCAGGTGAGCTTCCGGAATCACGGAAACTTTCACAAATGGAAATGATCAGGGTTTGAGAATATACAGACTTGAAGGGCGTGTGCTGAAAACCAACATTGGGCATGTAAGCCTGGATAAAGTGATACAGCCTACTCCTCCTTTTATTTCAAAGATTAACACTTGGATAACCTTTGGGTTTAATATCCTTTGATTAGGGCAAGATTCCTTCATGAAAGGATTCCTAATCAGCCCGGGATGTACCGTAATGAGGACCACATATTTGAGGAAGTTTAAAGGTTTCTAAAGTGGGATCTACCCTGAGGCTGACCTGTCTGTCAAGTGCCTGCTAACCTCTGACCCTGTGTGTCCCAGACTAAAAACAAATATTGTGACAGAGACCTTCACCACGCTCCCTCATTGCCCAATCCCCTGCAGCTGGCGGGCAATGTGACAGATGCAACCAGCAGCATTAGGAACTTACTAGCTAACTACTAACTAGTTAGAGGCTTCACAGTGTAATTGAGGCTCAGAAAATGCTTCAAGAATGAAAGCAATGCATTCTTCCAAATACATCTTGACTAGATAAGCATCAATTTGGAGGCTTTAAAAAAAGACTTTCACCTTAGCTATCCTGGCCCCTTCGGCCTGCTGAGCACGGGGACCCTAGCGAAAGCAGGCTGCCTAAACCACACACTGACTTTGCTGGCGGCTGTGGGTACCCAGGCTGTGCTTTGGGCAGTTCCCAACCCTTCCTCTCCTGGGGGGCCTGCGTACGTGAACACGCCCGTGCCTCCCCTAGGCAGCAGTGACGCTGAGAAGCCCAGAAGGCTCGCTGTGGAGCAGAGGGCTCAGAGTTGACCAGGCACTAGGAGAACGACACCTCAGAACCGGCCTCTCCTGTATTTGTTCAATACGAGGCCGTGTCTGCTGAGAGTGCGGTGTTATTTGTGGGCTTCTTTAAGCTTCCTCTCTCCCCCTGCCTTTGGGGCAATTTACTATTGATAATTTGTATAAGGAGGGAGCAGAAATGTGATTATCAGCCCAGATCCCTGTAGGGTATTATGCTTTTACTATCTCCGTAGAGTGGCAGGTTTTGGTTTTTCAGGTGCTCCCGTGGCCCCAAAGGGCAGGTTTCAGGCCAAGCTCTCCCACCTACTCACCCAGGGTGGAAGTAGGGGAGTCCCCGGAAAACAGAGACCCAGGCCACCTCTGTTACAGAGACATTTACCAGAACTATCGAGCACTCCCCCAGAACCACTGGATTCCTGAGTCTTTAGGAAAATCAGAGGCAGCTATTTTTACTCTCAAGCAGCTCTGAAGGCCTGGGGCTCGCTAATCAAGCAACCTAGCAGGGGCCCTCGCGCAGGCGAGCAGGGTCCTGCTTTCCGTTTTTATTCCCCTCCTTTCCTCACAGTTCCCACCCACCCCCCACGTTAACTTCAGACTCCACAGGCTTCTCTCTCTCTTGCTCATCTCCTCCAGCTGCTGCAGTCGGAGGCAGGAATCATCCAGGCTGTTCTTACATCCAGCTAATGTCTTGCATAACCACCCTTCAGAAAGAGACGGGAAAGCCACGTGTTCTAAGAAAAAAGGAGGAATTCTGAGAAGAAAAAGCCAAAGTGGTTGGACCCACAGACAAACTACTTCCAAGAAATCAGGCAGAGGATGGGTTGAGATTTGCTCTCTTCTCCTTAGTTGTAAATGAGGTTTTTTGTAAAAGTCTTTATCCCAAGCAAATGACAACCCGGAAGGCTGCCTTGACCCTTCAGGGTCATTGTTTCGCACTTCACCATGACCCTGGATGTCACGTGACATCCCTCTATGACAAAGGACACGCGGAGCATCCTTCCTGGCTGAGGGAGAGAAATCAGGAAGGAAAGAAAAGCTAAATGACATACTCTCTGAAACATAAAACCAGGTCTGCCCTTCATCTCAGAGGAAAGAGCTTTTGCTGATGACTGACTAGGAAAGACCATGATCTGATTTAACCTCATGCCATTCTTCTTTGGGGCTAATAAGTCTTTGTTTGGGAGTAGTCTTTTATATGGGAATTAGTGAATCCGTTAGCTGCAAGCAGGTAATCATAAGGCAGAACCAATGAATGCAGACTGGCAAAAAGGTTCTTCCAGAGTCACCTGCAGTAAGTTAAAAGTCAGACAGCACTGTAAAATAAAGCCATCCTAACAGAACACTAGGAACCTACATTGTAGAAAAGGAAGGAAGGAAGGAAGGAAGGAAGGAAGGAAGGAAGGAAGGAAGGAAGGAAGGAAGGAAGGAAGGAAGGAAGGAAGGAAGGAAGGAAGGAAGGAAATTAATCTATTAATTTTATGGCTCACCTATAACCTAGCTAGAAGTTTGACAAATGGTTGGAGCTGAGAACTATGGAGAGAACTAGGCCCAATGCTTTATTATTCAGTGAGAAGAGTGACACCTAGGCAAGCCCAGTGCTGATCCAAAGTCACTTGGCTAATGAGTAAAACGTGACAGGCAAGTGCACGTCTGTTGACCCCAGCACACCAGGCTGCTATCTGCAGTGCAGCCATGAAAGACGTGGACTAAACAGACATGTTCACGAACAGGCGTCCCAGGTGGACAGTTTCCATGCACAGGAATCATGCCGAGGGGTGCCAGGGCCTACACGCAAAAACAAAGGTGCTCTCCTCCATCTCACAGGGTCCACTTTGGGCGCTCTCCCTTATCTGGATTCCAAGTGGCAGAAAATAGTGTTGGGGAGAAATAGTGCTGTAAGCATTAAGACTATGGCACCTTGTAGCCCTTTAAATGAGGACAAGCTTTTAATTTTTCCAATGTCTTAAAAGAAGGGTATCCTGCCGAAACCGGTTTGGCTCAGTGGATAGAGCGTCGGCCTGCGGACTGAAGGGTCCCAGGTTCGATTCCGGTCAGGGGCATGTGCCTTGGTTGCGGGCACATCCCCAGTAGGGGGTGTGCAAGAGGCAGCTGATCGATGATTCTCTCTCATTGATGTTTCTAACTCTCTATCCCTCTTCCTCTCAGTAAAAAAAATCAATTAAAAAAAATAAAAGATGGGTAGCCTGACTGGCCTTGGGGGGCACCACACCCTTTTGAGATTCTCTAGGTCATTGGTCGGCAAACTCATGAGTCAACAGAGCAGCAAACCATGGCTCTCGAGCAGCAGTTTGCCGACCACTGTTCTAGGTGAAGCCTGAGGAGGAACAGAGAGCATCAGGAATCAACTCTGAAAGCGTGGAGAAAGGCTTGGAGATGCCCGTCTGTTGTAGGAAGAACTTCACTCGATGTGGCTTTAGTATATGTAGTGGACAGCTGTTTTATCACTTAAAAATTCTCTGTGAAAGTGTCAGATCAGATGGAAGAAATAATTGGACTCTATTCTCCTCTCCTCCCAACCCACCCAATATAAACCTCCAAGACTCTAGGGAATACAGGCCATTCATTTGCCTTAAGATTGCTTGCATCTCCTTAAAGTTCACATCTCCTTAAAGTCTGAACAATGAATTTCTACACGTTCAGTTCAATATCTAATCCCAAACTGATGAGTACATATGTTTGATACTTAAATCCATCCAAATATTTACTCTAGGTTTCACTTAGTATTTTTACGCAGTTATAAAGCAAAAAGGCCAAATAATTTTCAAGTATGTGACTTTTATTTTTCTCTGACATTTCACAGTCAATTTCTACAAAACTTCATACTTCTTTCTTCAAAAGAATTCACATTTGGTAAAGAAATCTCTACCCTAAAGAACTCATAACTGGAAAAACACTTTGATATATGCTTGTGTTACCTTCTGCTGAAGGAATCAATAAAGTCAGACAATACTATAATCAATAAATGGTAATGAGAGCAATAAATTACAATGTCATTAAACTCCATTCCCATAATCAATTCAATTAGCAGCTTTTTCTAGATTTTTTTTTTTTTTTTTTTTTTAATATTGCCAACAAAATCTGCCAGAAGGACTGATTTGAGCTAAGAATGGCTTCACACATTCAGAAAACAGTAGCTCTGCCACGGGACATCATACCAGATCAAATCATGCATTGCTAAGACCACTGCTTCTTACAGCCTTGTGCAATCAAGGTCTTTCTGGTCAACTCCAAGGTTCCTCCATTTGCTGATCTGGCTCCTGGCCCCAATGTCTGCTAGCTTCAATGGGCTCTCCTTCCAAGACCCAGCTTCTCTTCGCCTCCCCCAAGCTCCACTAGACAACAGGCACCCATGGTAAGTACAATAAGAGCTTAGAGACTTCTAGCACTAAGTCATAAGGCCAGACAAGAGCTGTGAGGATCAACGATGGCTTTCATCATCTTTTACTGTGACAGAAGGGAAATGCAAACCTTAATCTGGGAAGAAAATTCCAAGAGGCTTAGAGCTCCAGGTTTTTCGGATGGAATAAATTTGGTTCTCAGCAATTGTGTTCAGATTTTGACACTCAGTAAGACTCATGGCTAGCGCCAGGCTGTTCCGAATGCACCTGTCTCTGTAGCTCTGCTGCCAAACGCATTCTGCCAAAAAGGAAGCTTCCTGGCATGGTGCCCAGAGCAGAACTGCTGTGGTACCGCAGACTTGGGGAGGCCCAGACAAAATACTCAAAGGAGCTAGGTCTGCTTAAAGACACACTGGCTCTGATCTGACACTCTTTCACAAAGCAAATGGCAGGTAATAATTGAGTTAATCAGGAGTCTAGAGATTTTAGCAAGTTATTTCTACTAGTAAATTGGCCTTCCCTAACTCACGCACGTTCAAGAATAAAGTGGAGGCGATCCAAAGCCTTGTAATTTTTTAAACTACGTTAGTTACCACTACCTCGCAGATATGAGCTTTAGCTTCTTTCTGGCCTTGGTAAAACTTCAAGAACATTTTCCTGTGTAAAAGCTGGTCATCTAGAAGTTATTAGGTTTTCAAGAGGATAAAATTTTTAAATGAGAGAAAAAGTCTGAAGCTTCACTGTTAGAATCCAGTTTACCTTGCTGATGAAGCTGAAAGCATGTGTGTCTGCAAATTCCCATCACAGCCTCCATTCCCAGGTGAGCTTCACATACACACCACACCTCTGGGCTTGCTGCCAAAGCCAGCACGTGGCAGAGACAAAGACGACGCTGCTCCCGCTCACTCCACGTCACTGTGCATCACACAAAAGTGTTGGAGGCGAAACTGCTAAGAATGTTTTCCAACTTTGTGGGCTTATATTTCATAACCTCGGGATGATTTTAATCCCTAGCCTATCAAGCTTAATAACCACATCGTTCTTCTTTTAAGAAGAAAAAGTGGCAGCAGAGGGTTAATTTACACCATCACTCACGCTCAGGCACCATGACGCTATCTTTAAGATTTTCACACATAAAACAGGTTGCACTGTTTCAAAAATAGAAAGAAAAAAAGCACAAATTACTGGAATCTTCCAGCTCCTAACCAAGAGATACTGACCATGTGTTTCTTCAGATGCTAACTCAGAAAAGCAATTCATCGACTATAACTCCAGATGGTACTGCATCCGTTCCATACTTTAAAAAGCTGAAGTTATTTTGCCTACCAGTTTCAGTGAAGAGAAACCTGGTTTGTGATGGAAGTGTCAGAGTTAAATGGTACCACCCTTTTCCCTTGACTTTCAAGTTTAAGAAAACAAAGCTTTAAGTCATTAAGTGTTTGCACGCTAGGCCCAGCCTGTGCCCAAAGCATTTTAGGTTTTGGCCAAATGGCATGATGCCTTCAGGAATGCAACCATGCCTCCTCTCACTTTTCTCTAAGATATTCAAGGGAAGATCTGCGAAGGGATCCTTGTCACTTACTTCCTGGCTTGACAGGTGTCATTCAGTGCACTCATCCATGTCACTGCATCTCTGATCACAGTGAGTGGGACAGTGGGAGGCGAACAGGGTTAGTGACTGGGATGGTGGGAGGTGTCAGCTAGAGTTCCACACACTCCTCTCTCCTGCTTTGCCTTGTGACCCATCTAAGCACCTGCAGGCTAAGGAAAAGGGACTCAAGGACACCCCGAATCAGAGGTCCTCAGTGGAACAGAGACATATGTAAACTGTGCACAGACCACAGGTTAAGACAGCAGCCAGGGGTTGGCATGAGGCTTCATAAGTGAACTGCTGAACAGTTTAAGAGTAGAAGGAAAAGACCTTGCATAAGCTTTGGGGAACAGGAGTAAGATAACAGCAAGGAAGTTAAAAAGAAGCTCTCAAGTAACAGGAAAGTCTGCCTTCTGTGCTATATGTCCGGGTGATCAGAGAATGCTTCTAGGTCATGACCAGCCCCCAGGGTTAGCGATGCCTGCAGCCTGGCCCAAGCCTGAGGAGCCCTGCTCTTGGCGGCCTCTATAAACAGCTGGGTCTGCTCCTTGAGCTGGTCTAGCTCCACCTGCGTTGCCTGGTTCTGACGAATCAGCTCCTTGGTTTTCAAAGTGATCTCCAGCAAGCCGGACTTGTGCAGGACCACCAGGGTGTTCTGAAAGCGCCTGTGTTTGCTGGGCAGCTGCTCCGAGAAGAGATCTGGGCTGCGGCAGAGGTGCTCTGCGGCCCACAGAGGTGAGCTATAATTAGCTGACAGTGGTGACAGGGGGGAGTTGCTCTCTACCCCGTGCAGAGTGCTGTCTGAGGCGCAGACAGGACTGGCGGGGGAAGCAAAGGTCAGGCTGGGAGCTTTAGCCACGTGGCTGCTGGACACCGGCTGAAGAGTCTGTGGGCTTCCGCCTGCCACGAGGGAGGGCACACCCTGCAGAGCTGAGTCCTCTGCCAGCTTGGCGCTGGAGGGTGCTGCAGTCGGGGGACTGGATGACACAGCACCTGCCTTGGTGGGCTCGCTGGCGGGCAGGCTCAGCCCAGGTCTCTCAGTACAGATTTTCTTCTGCGTTCCACGTTCTCTTTCTTTTGGGCTGAGGGAGAGGCCCCTTTTGCCTGGGTGTGGGGCTATTTTGGTGTAAGAATTCAGAATGGGCAAGTAGTTCCTGGAGTCGGACCTTTTCTCGCCAGCGTGACAGGGGCTGACAGGCGAGGGCACAGGCGGGTGAAGGAACAGGAGCTGTGGCTGTGCCGAGATCACTTCCAAGGAGGGCTGGACAGTCCATGACTGGAGCTGGGATGAGCTGCTGCCCTGAAAGCAGATGAAAACAGCACAGTCCTTGTTACCTGCTTCTGCTAAGGGGCAAAGCAGAGACTTACAACAATCTCATGTACAGAGCTTCTCTCACATCAGGCAGCCCTTTCTGAACAGAGTGATCAGAAATCAATTGGGCTTAAAAATCAATTGGGCCTGTCATTATAATTTCTTTTTTTTTTTTTAATCCTCACCTGAGGCTATTTTCCCATTGATTTTAGAGGGAGTGAAAGAGAGAGGGAAAGACAGAGAGAAATATCCATGTGAGAGAAACACATCGATTGGTTGCCTCCTGCATACATCCTGACCAGGGCCCAGGCTGGGGAAGAGCCTGTAACCAAGATACATGTCCTTGACCTGAATCAAACCTGGGACCCTTCGGTCCACAGGCTGATGCTCTATCCACTGAGTCAAACTGGCTAGGGCTATAATTTCTTCCTTCCTTCCTTTCTTTTTTCACTTTTCCTAAGGCAAAACTGAAGAAAATACCTATTTTTATTCAATCCACAGATGCTACCACCCAGGAAAAGAAACTGTAGGTAGATGAAGTAATGACATAGTTAAGGTCACAACTGAGGCAACAAAAACATGGGTAATAGAATTGCTTGGCATGGTTAAAATGTGCTCATCTCAAGGCTACAAATGTGACTTTACAGGGTCTGTCTTCGTTTATATCTGGACCCTCCTTTACCTGAACACAACTTTTTTTTTTTTTTTTAAATATATTTTATTGATTTTGTACAGAGAGGAAGGGAGAGAGATAGAGAGTTAGAAACATCGATGAGAGAGAATCATCGATCAGCTGCCTCTTGCACAGCCCCCACTGGGGATATGCCCACAACAAAGGTACATGCCCTTGACTGGAATCGAACCCGGGTCCCTTCAGCCCCCAAGCGGACGCTCTATCCATTGAGCCAAACCGGTTTCGGCCTGAACACAACTTCTGATTAAAGTCACATGCTGTCAGGAGTCCATAAGCCTTTTTAAGGCAGTGACACTCAACAGTCATAAAACCACTCAAGATAACAGTTACCAGGTATTGCTGCTTACTACAAGCTAGCACTATGTGTGATGTTTTACATGGTTTGTTTCCGTAACAACCCCATGAGGTAGTGATCAATTCCCTTCACAAATAGAAAACTGAGGTATAGAAAGTTATGCATTTTCATTTTTAATTAAGTACCGATTCAGAAGGAAAGTTAATAAAGAAGGGTATGGCTATCTTTTTCCAATATTTAAAAGCCAGTCCAGTTCCAACTGGTCCCAAAGATATGAGTTGGTGGGCTGGTCACTGCTGAAGAGAGCTGTCTCCCACACGTGCCCACCATTTTGCACACGTTTGAGCTTCCTCGATGTGTGGCTAGAACTTCAGGCCAGCGACAGCTCATCTCCTGACAAAAGTTGGGATCACCTGGAGAGTCCATTCTGAAGCCCTCTTGGTAATCAGATATACGCTGGATGTACGTAAGCAAGCAATGCTAGGCCTAGCACCCCTATTCCTTGTCAGAGCAGATCCAAAAGCAAGGGTCTTTCGAAGCAGAAATCAGCCTAGTCCAGCTCAGTCAGAAGCAAAACATCAGGCTATTCCCCTATTCACTCATGACCTAAGGGTGGATCTACTAGGAGGCAAATGGATCCAGAAAATTTATAATTCACTGCTTTTCTAAGCTGATTTCACTGGATTCTTCCTAATGCTGCTATGCCCATTGCTGTAGTAGATGCTTAGCTTACTGGTTCTAATTATTAGATTTTACAATACATTATTTACGTTGAAATCATCTGAGGGAATATGGGGCAAGATTTTAGACTTGGCTACAATCTCAAGGCCATTTTCCACGAAGCCTTCACATTGAAGATAAGGAAACTGAAGCCCAAGTGTTACGTAACTGTGTGCAAGATCACACAGTCAAGTGGCAAAACTGAATCAGACCTCCAAAACCAAGACATTAGCCCGATGTGTGGCTAATGTAGTTGACCATCAATCCATGATCCAGAAGGTCACGGTTTGATTCCCATTCAGGGTACCTGCCTGGGCTGTGGGCTCAATCCCCAGTGGGGGATGTGCAGGAAGCAGCTGATCAATGATTCTCTCTCATTATTGATGTTTCTATTCCTCTCTCCTTCTCCTTCCCTCTCTCTGAAATAAAAAATATCTATATATATAAAAGCCTAAGCAACTAGCTGACCAGCTGGTAACTATGACATGCACTGACCACCAAGGGGCAGATGCTCAACACAGGAGTGGAAACCACAGGCATGGAAACATGGAACAGACTGATGAATCTCAGAGGGAAGGGGGGAGGAGGAAGGGCTAGAAGAGATTAACCAAATATCTTATATGCATACTAGAGGCCCAGTGCACAGATTCATGCACAGGTAGGGTCCCTCAGCCTGGCCTGTGGGGGTTGGGCTAAAACCAGCTCTCCAACATCCCCTGAGAAGTTCCAGGTTGCAAGAAGACGCAGGTCAGGCTGAGAGACCCCACCAGTACACGAATCTGTGCACTGGCCCTCTGATACAGTGGTCGCCAACCTTTCAGACCTCAGAGACCACTGGTTGGTGACGACTAGTATAAATATAAAATAAAATAAAACCAAGACATTACACAAAATACACATATTTTGAAAAGCATATCACTGTTTTAATCTTGGAATGTGCTGGATTCTAACGTGTGAAAAAAAACAAGATGAAACTCCTAGACGACTCCATCAGGTCTGCCCGCCCCAAGCCTCCCATCTGCTGATGGAACCAGAGCCTCCCCGCAGGCCTTTGTCCTGGAGAATGCAGCTCTGCTGGAAAAGCCTACCCACTCCTCAACTGTGGGCTGTTCTCCGCCCTGGGGAGCTGCCAGCCTGCCTACGACAAAGAAGGCATATAAACACAGACACACAGGAAGGCCTGACAAACAAGGGAGCCAGAGAGGAAGACAGGGAGAGAAAGAGCCGGGAGAAAGGAAACCCTGAGAAGCATCACAAACTGATGAGGTCTGGACAAGCTCATTTGGGTTCCATTACATGTCTTTATCCTCTCTCTTCATTTCAATAAGCAGAGCTGTTTTTCCTGCTGAGGTGATTTGTCAAGCAAAAATGTTCAAATTCTTTGTCCAAACTCACCAGGTTGCCTTGTTGAAAATCTGTTTGTGTTCCTCAGAAATAACTAGGTAATAGTTAAGACGTCAGGTTTCCTGGCAGGCTACAGCCACATATGTTCTTCTACCTGAGCTGGAATGTCAGCAGCATAAAGCCAGTTTCAAATGTCCTAGCTTCCAGCAGTCTCATCAATGGCCCCATGAGAGAGCTGATATATTTTAGAGCAAAGCAGGGTAAGGTTAAGTGTTCTTAAACCCAGTTCATCTGATTAAGTTCTCTGTTCCAAACATGGGGGCTTAGATTGTCATCTAAATCTTTTCTTGCATATCTGGACAATAATCACATAGCATACATAGTTATGTAATCAAGCCCCCAACGGTGTGTTTTTGAGCTCCACAGCAATGCCGTGCAGACTCTGCTGGGGCAGCCATACCTTTAACCAAAGAGCTTCTTTTCCACTAACGGCATGTCCTTGGCTGATGACTAAGAAAAGGCTCTGAGTGTGACAGGAGAAACATGGAAATTGCCTCCACTTCTCAAACAAATGAATGCATCCTACATTTCTAAATTCCCAGGGCATTTCAAGTTAAAAAGAGATTCTTTTGTTTATACCCCGAATTCTGTCATCTGTTAATGCACTATGGAAGTTATGACATTTCTGCTTGGTTCTTTTATACATGACTAAAGAATTCCGGTGTTCCTCTGGATAAACTAGGGATCCAGAAATAAAATAGTCTTGCTGTCCTGGAGTCCTTTTTAAAACACTGTCAGTAGTTGAAAGGAAACATCCTTTCCCTAGGACAGAGTACTCGGAGGCGTGGTTCTAGTGCTCTGCTCCTAAATCAATCCTGGGCCGAGGGGAGCCTCGCGCACAGGAAGCCCAGGCACTTGAACTTGCACCCCCTCACCTGTTTGACCAGCACGTTCTTCATGACAACCATGGGGGACAGAGCAGGGAAGGCACTGCTCGCAGCCTTGGAGTTCAGTCTTGGCCGGTCTTCCCGGCTCCAGCCTAAGGCGCTCAGCATGTCCTCCGACTCCATTTGCTCCGCCGAGCTCAGACATTCCGAACTCCCATCTGGTGGCAGGAAAACGGACAGTTCACCTGGGCTCTCGGCTGGAGGCTGGTAACCAGGCCTCCTGGGGAGTGGTGGGACACCTTGAAACTAAATGGAACATTTGTGAGATGGGTTTTTGTGAATTTTTTTGAGGAGCGGTTCTTTAACTTTCATTGGACTCTCAAAGGCTTCCATAATTATCACCTCTGCCCCCAAAGATTGGGAATGACTGCCCAAGGACTCCTTTCTAATTCTTATAGACAAAAGCCTGCATCAGTTCAGGTTCCTGTGAAAGTAATCATCACCAGTCTACAGAACTGGGGGGAAGGCTTCAAAGTTAGTTCATTTCATTACTTTCACATTGATATTCCCCCCCCCTTCCTCTCGGAAATAAATAAAAATACGTATATTGTTAAAAAAATAATACAAAACCTCAAAACTTATATCCATGCTGAAATTAAAAGAGTTTCTTCCTAAGTTTTCTAACTGTAAATTCTGGATAAGTTAATCAAAGCTGAGGTTTAAAATGTGTCTGTCATTGTTGTTCCCTCTACCCAGTCAGACATCTCCTTTGTTGCTGTGTCTACTGAGACCCTGCATATTGGGTGATAGATACTCTCCAAGGCAAAGAAAATAAGAACACCCTCCATGAAATCCATCAGAAAGGACTTATTTAGCATCCACTGGAGCATACCCAGCGACTGCTATAACCCTGCTCGGAGGGGTCTGGGGATACCCTAAATCAGGGGTCCTCAAACTTTTTAAAGTGGGGGCCAGATCACGGTCCCTCAGAGAGCTGGAGGGCCGGACTATATGAACTACTAATTCCTACTGTAACACCTCGGCTGCGCTCACTGCCCAAAAAACCTGGCGGACCGGATCAGACTCCTCTGCGGGCCGCATGTGGCCCGCGGGCCGTAGTTTGAAGACGCCTGCTAAATGCTCATCAAGAATCACAGAGTCAACTAGATGAGGCAGGCCAGAATGTAACTTTAATTTAAATGAGTACAACTGTCAACACTTGCAATTAAGTCAGAATCTACAGTGATGCCTTTTAGAAATTACAAATGTGAGAGTCTTCCCCTCCACCTACTGAATTGATTGATCTGGTACCCAGGCAGAAATATTTCCACAGAATACCAAGGGCAACCTCTAGTCAAGAACCAGTAGGCCAGAAACAAAGGCCTCAGGAGCTGAGTACATACCTGGTACCTGGGTCTTGGTTTCTAAATGCCATTCCGCAAGAACAGGAAACCTGGGCTCCTTAGATTCCAATCTTAGGCAGGGAAGGTACAAAATGAGCCTGGACATCTTATTGTCCCAGAAAGCAAGGAAGTACTCAAACACAAATGGAAGCATGTCGAAAAGACACAGGAGCTAACTGGAAGGGACTCCCACTGGCCCAATCTGGGACAATCTGAGTATCGAAAAGAATAATAATAATGGATTGACAAACTGAATTACAAAAGAATTCCATGAGCCACAGTGATACTCAAAGAAAGGGTTGGAGGAGAGAAAGTGCTTCTTTACAGAAAAATGACAGCTAATAAAATGTATAAGGGATAACAGAACTGGGTCACCATTTTAAAGCACGAAGTGGTGACTGATTTGGGCAAAGAACATAAATGGATGCCAAAGCCACAGGTAAAGAGTTTGTGGGGGGTGTTCAGGAGGCAGCAGATCGATGTTTCTCTCTCGTCGATGTTTCTAACTCTCTCTCTCTCTCCCTTCCTCTCTGTAAAAAATCAATAAAAATATAAATAAATAAACAAACAAACAAATAAATATCGCTGATTAGCTCTAGCTGTTTTGGTTCAGTGGACAGAGAGCCGGCCTGCAGACTGAAGGGTCCTGGGTTCAATTCCGGACAAGGGCACATGCCCATGTTTCTGGTTCAAACCGCAGTAGGGAGTGTGCAGGAGGCATTCAATCAATGATTCTCTCTCATCATTGATGTTTCTGTATCTCTCTCCCTCTCCCTTCCTCTCTCAAGTCAATAAAAACATATTTTTTAAGAATCACAGATTACATCATTCACCAAGTGACTGAAATAATAACTCAGACAGTGATGAAATCGCTGGCACCTGGCCCAGAGGTGGCTGGAGGCATTCACTGGGGTCACTTTCTGGAGCACAACCAGTTGGGATTGGTGTTAACACTGCCTATGTCTGACTAGCATAACACTTCCTACAGCACTTCTACAGAATAAGGAAACTACCAGAAACACCATCCAGACTGTGGGACATACTACATCACAACTGCCTGAAGCTGTTGGAAAGAGATGTACCAAAATGTCAACAGTATTGAGGAAAAATGGGTGTTGGGATGATAGATAATGCTTATATTTTTCTTTCTAAGTTTCTACATTTCTAAGCTTCTACAATGAGCATGTATCACCTTTGTGATATGAAAAACGGATGAAAACAAACTTGACCTTAAAAAAAGAGAGACAGTAAGCCTGCAGTGTTTCCCAAACCTGTCTGATTACATAATCACCAGACACAAAAATAACCCCCACATTCCAGGCCCTCCCCCAAGACCTTCAACATCACAATGTCCAGGAGCGGGGTCTGGCGAGCAGTATTTTAAACAAATGCCTCAGATGAGTCTCATGATGAGACAAGCTCAGGAAACAATGCTAAGCGACAGAGAAGAAAAACCAAAGGGCTACACCGGCCCTCGCTTCCCGACTGTCCTTATTCTAATCCCTCCGTCAATAGGTGCTCGGTTCTTCTCTGAGCAACAGTCTATTTATAATTTGGCTTCTCACACAGCCTCCCTACAGGGAGGAAATATACCAATCTAAGGAGGAGGCAGATCTAGCATTCCAACAGCTGTATTTCTCAGTGTAAGTTAATAAATCAGTAGCATGGACTGATTGGTCTCTCTGAGGCTGATAACGTAAGTCTTCTTCTAGGAAAAGGCTCCATCCCAGGGTGCTAACCCAGCCAGAATCCCCTAGCTCACCTTTCTGCATTCCCTGGGCCAAAATGTTGACACTAGAGCCATGGTATACTGTCAAGCCCCTACTCTCAGACCTGGAAATAAAGGCGCCTCAGCACAAAACTGAAAGGTTCACTGGGTATGCAGCTAGCCCTTTCAGGTAAGGTTTGGACAAACTAGTAAGGAAAACTGACCTCTTTCTTGTCTCAGATAGTACTCAACTTTGGAATTGGGCCAGAAGGCTCTCAGTCCAAATGCGAAATGCATGGATATGGGGAGGGTGGGTTGTAGAGGGGAAACATTTTTTAAAAAAGCAAAATTACTTTCTTAGCAAATAAGTTATTTTTATCAAATTATATACTCTTTTGTTTTAATTTTTTACATGGTGACAACATGCAGTCTTTTTTCCTGCAATGTAACTATTCCTATGGAAAAGGAGTGGGGGGGAAAAACACAAAGAATTATGAGTACTTAAATATTTTTCCAGTAACCACTTGCAACAGTTGTAAGATTTAAAACTGAGTTGAAAAAAGATGTCAAATCCCCTGGTCAGCATGGCTTCATGGTTAAGCATTGACCTATGAGCCAGGAGGTCCTGGTTGATTCCCAGCTGGGGCACATGCCTGGGTTGCAGGCTCGATACTCAGTGTGGGGTGTGCAGTAAGCAGCCGAACAATGATTCTTTCTCATCATTGATATTCCTCTCTCTCTCTCCCTCTCCCTTCCTCTCTGAAATAAATAAAAATATATATATTTTAAAATGTTAAATCACTCCTTCATACTAACCCCGTGGTGACTCTGATGGGGACCCTGCCATATGGCACCAGAATTGTCATTTTAAGAGATCAGATATTTATTTATTCTGTATGTGAAAGTTTCCCATCCCTATCACACAGGGGTGTTTGAGGGAGGACCTCTTTCAGATAATCATTCTTTACAATGTAGAAAGAACAAGGTATTTTAACCTGAAAACCCAGAGTCCTTGTCTGACTCGGCCGCTGCCAGGCCGAGTTGCCGGGCCACTTTTTTCATCTCTGTGCCTTTGCCTAGTTTGGCCGAGAGTCTTCTGGGGCTCTCTCTGGACGGGTTTTTCCTCTCCATGTTTTACTGGGCTGGAAGAGGGTTCACCAGGACTCTTTTCATCTGGGCTGCCCTGTGAAAACAATTACATAAGAAGTCACTCACAGACAGCTGAAACAGGTGACTGAAACGGTGAGTAAAGAAAGGGCAAAGAACGTTGGCCGCACCCACTTCCCCTGCATTTTCTCAGAGGTCTCAACCCAAAGGGCTTCCACAGTTCACTGAGAGGTAGAAGGGCTTCCACCCAAAAGAGGCCCACTGTCCCCTCCCTGCCCTCTCCATCTATTACAAATTCAAGGCACACACCACAGTCAGTGGAGGCTTTGAACGGCTAACAAAGGCACACTTGATTAGGTTTCTGGACTGGGTACCGCACCCTGCTCCCTGAGGGAGGAGAGCAGGGGGAATGCCCATCTGGGACAGGCTTGCTTTCCCCGGTTACTGCCACTCCCGGCTTACTGCCACCTCCCCCAGTGTGCTTCTCAAATGAACCTTTCACGTCTTTGGGTGTTTTACTGAACAGAGGGAAAACAACTCCATTTATATGCATGCTACTTTTTGGCTTAAAAAGCACTTTTATGCACAAATAAGATCATATGGAATAGTGCTTTGCTTCTATAAAAGTCTACATTATTGCTGTTAATTTTATCTCACTTGACTCTCATGTCCCCCTCTCTTGCTATCCCATTTTACAGAAGAGGAAGTTGAGGTTCAGATAAGTTACATTCAGTCCTTTAAAAATCTTTATCAAGTGCCCATTATGAAGCAGGAATCATGCTAGGACTGGGGATACAGGGTGAATGAGACATAGTCTACCTCCCTGAGCTTACATTCTAGAGTTAGATAAACATTAATCGAATAAGCAAACAATTACTATTTTGGTAACAGCTATAAAGGGGGAGGGGCTAAGAGTCTGGGGGACTGAGAAGGGAAGGCTTTCCTGAGGAAGTGACATGTAGCTGGGTCTGGAGGGAGAGACAGAAGTTGGGGAGTTAAATGGGGGAGGGAGCGGTGGGTGTGGAAGTCTGAAAGCCCTAAGGGAGAAGGGAGCCTGACACACTCACAGAGCTGGGAGGCCCAGGAGGCCAGGGCTCAGTGCAGGGGGCAGAAGGCCAGGTGACATGAGAAGAGTTGGTGTGGGCCAGACAGGCAGTGCCTTGTGAGCAATGTTGTAAAGACTTTGGGCATTAAGAGCAAAGAGAAGTCACAGAGGGATTTTAACCAGAAAAGTGACAAGATCAGATCTGCATTTTAAAAGCATTTGAATGCCGGAAACTAAACTTAGGGAGAGGCCAGAGTGGCACTGAGCCCATCTATATACATACTACTGTGTAGTCCCAGTGACTTAAGGTGGTGGCGGTGGACAGGAGAGAAGTGAACAGATTGGAGACATTTATTTAGAAGGCTGTCTTGATGGGGCTTGGTGATTGTATGTTGGAGGAAAGATGGTGGAGCCCAGAAGAGCCCAGAAGATATATGGTGAGGTGGCTAGGCAGGTTCATTTTAGGTCATGAGAGAGATGCGACTGTGGGTCATCCCAGTGGAGATGCTTGGTAAGCTGCCACATGTCCATGCTGAGAGCCCAGGAAGAAGCCTAGATTTGCCCCAGCGATAGCTAGTCCGCTGCAGATCCATAGCTAAGCTAACAGTGCAAAGAATTAGATGAATGAGCCCTTCAAAGGGCTGGGAGAAGCTGAAAGCATTTCAGATATTCTAACAAGGCCATCTGAGGCAAAGAGGAATGGCAGCAAGATAACAGCACAAGGGCTATCACAGGGCTCAAGACAACAGGACAACAAGGAAAATGACAATAATAAAACCGCCTAATGCTGATCTCAATGTCTATGTTCCCCTCAGATCCATATGTTGAAACCCCAAAACTGATGGCATTAGGAGCAGGCCCTTTGGAAGGTGCTTAAATCATGAGGGTGGAGCCCTCATTAGTAGGATCAGTGCCTCGTAAAAGAGGCTCCAGACAGCTTAGTCCCTTCCACCATGCAAGCACCCTGATCTCAGACTTCCAGCCTCTAGAATCACTAGCAATAAATTCCTGTTGTTTGCAAGCAACCCAGGCTGAGATATTTTGTTGACTAGAACAGTAGGTGTAAACAAAGCCAGGCAGCATTGTAATTCACAGTCCACTCGCAGCTCCATCCACTTGTCCTGAGTGCAGAGAAACACAGCCCCTCCGCCCCCTCCAAACAGCACTGTATCTGGAACACCCTGAAAGGCCAGCGCTGAACTTTTCTGCCCATCAGGATCTCATGCAGAACATCAACTACTCCAGAAGTAGAAGAGGGATTCAAAATAAAGTAAAATTAAATAGAAGACAAGGATGCTTCACAAGTGTCCCAGAGCAGCCCTCTTGTTCACACGTTTGCATACAATGTAAGTGGGCAAAAGGGAACACACACCTATCTGAATGAGACTGAATCTTAAACAATTCCAAGTACAGAGTACTTTGTACCATACAAACTGAGTCCATTTAAAGGAATTGATCTCCCCATGTCAAACTAAGCACCCCTTCCCAGGTCACAGGGTTAGCCCTTAGTGCACAGAAGATAAACAATGGCACTGTCACATCTTGTACAGCACTATGCACAGACAACATCTCTCTATTGGACGGCCAGGAAGTTCGACAGTGCAGCCTAAAAAAATAAGACTAAACTATATAAGTATATCTCTAATTAAATCAGAATCCATTGGTATGAAAATCAAGAAATGTGCATGTAAAGGGAATAGGAGGTTTCTTCAAAATGGAAGTAGATGTCGCTTTTGGGTGAACAATCAGATGTATCATTCAAGTCTGACCCTACTGTTGATTTAGATTAGGAAAGCAGCTCATGTTAGTTGCAACTGAGTAAGAACTTGACAAAAGTTTCAAATTATCTTATGAAATACTGATTATTTCATGGGTATTTTAGATAAGGCATCCCAATTTAGCCTTCTACAACCCTTGTGACAGGAGGAGAAAGGTCTTGCTATGGTTATTAAAATGTATTCAATGGAGCTCCAGAAAGATACACAGGAATTTATTCTGGCCAGTTGAGAATATGCAGGACAACATTGAGTGTGACATAAAAAAAAAACTGAAACACTGGCAAATTGGTTAAAAGGAGAACAGATGCCAAAATTTTAGATCCTGGGGAACTGGCGGCAGTCGGAGGTAAAAAGCACTTTAGAATAGTAAATGAACGAGGTTGGATGTGAAAGTGACTAAAAGTGTGAAAGCCTCTGTCCTAAGTTCTGCTCATGCAGCAGGAAGCCTGAGTGCCCAGGGACGTTCAAAAAACACGCAGAATGAAGGACTACATCCAACTGTGACCTCTGCTCTGAGGGGAGAGGCACTGAGGCCCCTCTGCACAGCACCGACGAGGCTCTCTCCACCGGAGAGAAGCAGGCAGACGGCACTGACTACGGCTGCTCTCAAACCCAGGGACACACACATGGCAAAGTCTGAAAACCTCAAGATTTTCTTCTTCCTCGGCGTTATTTTACTCATAAACTGGCTAGGGGTTGAAAAATGGGTTACGAGGACTCTTTCCCCATCCCCACGTAGGAGTCTGTGCTGAGATTCTTTCTCCTTCCCCACGTGGGAATCTGTACTTGTTCTTTAGTGAATTTCCACCTTTGCTATAAAAAAAAGGAGGGGGGAGAAAATGGGTTCCCATGCTCTTACCCACTGTGCCATCTCTGCTTCCTAGCACAGCCTGGAAACTACCACCACCACCACCACCACCCACAAACATCTCAGATGCTCATGAGCCTGACTGCACTGCACTATAAGGACTCCCACTGAAGCTTCCCAAGCTGTCAGAATCGATCCTGACTGGGCCTCTTAATAAGTAACAGGTAACACAGTGTCCAAAGGTTCCCGGAGAGAACAGTACGTACTAAAACTTATCATGGAAAGGGAACGTAAACACAGAGGCTTATATAAACAGGCATAAGATAAAATTCTAACAAGTGCCTCGCACTTGGCTCTTACTTCCATTTTTGCACTTCTAACATTAGACTCTAATTATTCGTCTCTTCAACCTCAACAGTTTTTTTTTTATCTTTGCAACCTCAGCTCCCAACAATATGTGTGAGATACTCAACAGAATAAATGCCTACAAATCCCCTCTCCTGCTGAGCTTGCTGACAGCCCTAGCATCTTAGCTGTCACTGAAATACCTGAACAGCTTGAAGGTCAAGAGTCAGCATTTCCATACACCATAGTTACCTCAAGACTGAACTTCCAGCTCTGGTCTCCTGCAGGAAGATCTCTCACCTACCCCTTATTCTAAGATGAAAACTCAGGGATAAACCCATCAGCCAAATTAAAGGTTGGTCTAATCCAAAAACAATCTCTATGATGATTTCGGCTTATGAATAATAATAATTTAAAAAAGGACACCCAGGTTTACAAGGAAAGGATCTGAAATGTTGCTCTGGGATCATTCCTTTTATAGATACTTGGCAACTTTCCCGAGAGCTCAAGTTTCCTTTAAAATGTGTCACGTGTCTAACACCCCTGCATGGACAGAGTTGTGAAGAGAAAGTCCAAGCAGAGACTTAAACACAGTCCAGTAAGCAGGTCATAAAAAATTGAGGCCTGGAAGTCCAGAAAACCATGAGTAATGCCAGTTTGAATTATGAACGCGTTACAGAAGTTGTTTTCCCTTGGCCTGCATATTTGGAGATACCATACTTGGGGAAATGTCTGTGTATTTTAACAGGGAACAACCCGTTTACCTCCCGGTTATACCTAAATCTCTTAACATTCATCTTTCCCTTCACATCCATTTTTATTCTTCAACGTGGCTGCAAAAATTCATGTCAAAGATCCCAAACCCCAATCCCATACAATGTCCTGTTTGGCACCTGGTAGGGCTCACTCCATTCTCTTTTCCAAAGAGCATATGATCAGAGAACTTCCCTCAAGCTCCCTGCTTCCAGCAGCAGTACCCACTCCCCATTCGCGCCAGCCCACGCGCATCTGTGCCAGACAGCAGGCCTACCCTCCAGGCACCCGAGCCTGCCAGCTAGCTCAGCAGGGCAGAACTGGGCAGACCGTAGGCCTGTGCTGTGACTGGCATACCACCAGCTGCCCAGGGCAAACGCCCAGGCCATGCAACCTGCCAGGACTTGGGCAATAGCAGGGAGCCTGATTTCGGCCTGGATCAGAGCTTCCCCCCACCGACTTACCCAGTTTAACTGCATGTCACTTCTTTCCCATCTCCCCAACCCCTGGCACCATGCCTGGCCACCTGGCCACCCAGGAGAAATAACCAGCCAAGTGAGTGACAAAGACAGCACACCTGCGCCTCGGACCCAGGGACCCAGAACAGGACGCTACCTCCAACCCCAGACTGGAGTCCCAGGACCCTCACCAGGTCACCGACTCCCGCACCCACTCACCTGCCCATTGCCTGACCGAAGCCCACAGCTGTTACCTCCAGGGCTAGACCGGGGCCCACCTGCCCTGAGGTCTCACCCCACCGGCCTCCACACCAGCCCCCTCTCGGTCCTCGGCCCCCTCCTCAGTCTCGATTCTCGGTCCTACCAGGACCTGCCCCTCAAAACTAAACCCACCATTAACGGGGGGAGGGACGCACGCCCTCTGCTCCCACCATTTGCCCCTCCGTCCCCCACAAAGTCCTGATTTTACCTCGCGACCCTTCTTCGTTCCCCTACTCCCACCTCCTTTCCCACGCTCCTCGCCCAACCCCTCTCCCCGTGCGCCCGGTCCTTCCTCTCTCACCTCGGGCCGGGGTCGCGGTCGCCACTCCAAGTACTACAGCCGGCGGGTCAGGTGGCGCATGCGCCAGGCCGGGCCCGCGGCTCCATGACAACCCAGCCGTCGCCGGGTCTGGAGCAATCCCGTCGGCCTCCCGCCCCTTTCTCCTCCCCCGCCCGCCTCCGGGGCGGCTTCCGCCAGAACCACGTGACCGGCTCGGAGGACCCGGCACCATGGAGACTGCTTGCTGTTCTCCTAGAGGAGCCCCTTAGAGGCGCGCCCTGTTCCTGCCTCCGCCGGAACGCGAGCCCCTCCAGCCACTCAGGGGGCGCGGACGTCCCGCAGAGGCCGGCGCTCTCTCCGCGGAGGGCGGGCGTCTCTATGGTTTCTTCCCAGGCCCCGCCGCCATTTTGAGCGGGGGACCTTGAGCCCCAAGCGGCTGGGGTGCGGTTTTGGGACGAGGCTCGGAGAAGTTTCTGGCAGACACGGCAGGAGGCACGATTCTCCTGCGGGAGCGGGTGGAGGTTGGCTTTCGTTTTGTACGCCGGGACACCGTTCGCGTCGGGGCCCAGGAGAGGCCATGCTGACCGGCACGCGCGCCCCGGGTGGCGGCGCCCCGCGTGGGAGGACATGCGGCCAGCCTCCGGCCCCCTCGCCGGCGGGGGCGTGCCCAGCCGCCCCGCGCTGCTCACGTGTTTGCCACGCCTGTCTGGGCTGTGGGTCAGCCTTCCCTACTACCCTGCCTACTGACCAGGCGGGGACGCGGTCGGTGTTTCTGTGGGAAGATTTCATGTAATTGGTGTATAAGTTACTTTGGGGACTGCTAAGATAGTAGGTTTTTAAATGGACACTGTTCTTTCTCCAGCCAGTTCTCAGTGAAGCGACATAACGAAGACACTACAATCTCTAAAGAATAAAAGGGTTGCCCTCGCGGGTTTGTCTCAGTGGGTAGAGCATCGGCCTGCGGCCTAGCCAGGTTCAGGTTTAGGTTCAGGTTCAGTTCCGGCAGGGGGCGTACAAGAGGCAGACGGCCAGTGATTTTCTCCCATCATTAATGTTTCTAACTCTAATCCTCTCCAGTCCTCTCTGAAATCAATAAAAATATATATTTTAAAAATAAAAGGATTTGGGATCAGTTGAAGTAATGCTTTGAATCAGCGTTGCTTATCATTTAGAAAATATTCCTTTACTAGTGAAAAGGAGGGGACACGACTTAAAGAGACTGACAGGAGGCAAGTTCTAGAGCTGCCCTGTCCATTAGGGTAATGCTAATCTTCGGAGCGTATTGAATTAATTAAAAAGTGTGTGTGTGTGGGGGGGGGCGCTTCTTAGATATATAATATACAACTCTTGGTCTGTTTGGGACTGATAAATTGCTGGCCTCGCCCTGATGACTCCCTGAGACCCCCACCCTCACCCCCCATACCACAAAAGTGTGTAAGCACCCTGAGAGAAGCAGCTAGACCTGGCATACCCTGGGACATTTGCTGAGTGGCCTCAGAACAGCTCTGGCACAGAGTTTGAACCTGTGTTCATCTGGAGAAGCTGTATCAAACTTGCCCCTACCTGGTGACTCACTGGGAACCTACCGCATGCAACTTGAGTGCCACCAGAGACTGAGCCTAACCAGCAGCCAGCCGGCAGAGGCAAATGTTTGGATGCCTTGGGACTTTAGCTGACCTGCCTCTGGGCTCAGTGCTGGTAAAAGCCAGCCTTGGTGCACAGCTTGGTCCTTCCCACTCACACCCAGGCCCAGCAGAGGCAGACACAAACTGTTAATCACTTTGTAGCTCCAAACAGGTTGCCGAGAGCCAGTCACAGGTAGCTTTTGGCATTGGGCTGCACCAGAGTCCCTCCCAAGAGGCCCAAGAACCAACACATCTAGTGGCCAGGATGCAATTAGCTTCACAAGCGGCATATCCACAGGGAGATCTTGGCCGGCACCAGACCCTGCTGAGGCAAATTGCACTTCATGTGGTCAGCACCACCTGCACAGGAGCTCGTACACTGTGGCAGGGCTTATCTTCACAGACTGCCAGCCTGAGAATTGACCCCAGACACAAATGGGTTAAGAACAATCAAGACTCAATTATAACAGGAGGGCCCACATAACCCACACGAGGGACATTCGTGGAGCACTCCTCTCAGGTGGTCAGGAGACTGTGACACTGGGTCATACAGAAAACCTACTACTTAAGGCCACTCTACCAAGACTGGGAGGCATAGCAGATCTATCTAATACGTAGAAACAAACAAAGAGGCAGCCAAAATAGCGAGACAAACATGACCCAAATGAAAGATCTGAAAAAAATTCTCTGGAGAAAGAGCTAAATGAAGTGGAGGCAAGCAACTTATTAGATATAGAGTTTTAAAAAATGATTATAAGGATATTCAAGGAATTTATAACTAGAACAACATAAAAATAGGACATAGAAACGGATCAGTCAGAAATGAGGGATACAATATTTGAAGTGAAGAATATGCCAGAAGAAATAAACAGTAGATTGGATGAAGGAGAGGATAGAATCAGCAATTTGGAAGACAAGGTAGCAGAAAACAATCAGAGCAGTAAAAAGAAAATAAAATTGTTTAATCCTTACCTAAGGAGATGTTTTTATTGATTTTAGAGAGAGGAAGCAGGGGTGGGGGGTGGGAGAGAAATAAATATGTTGCCACCCGTACATGCCTCAACCAGGTATTGAACTTGCCATCTAAGTGTGTACCCTGATGGGGAATCGAACCTACAACCTTTTGGTATACAGGGTGATGCTCCAACCAACTGAGCTACCTGGAGAAGGTGAGAAAAGATAATTTTAAAAGATGAGGATAGCTTAAGGGACCTTTGGGGCAATGTGAGGTGTAACATATCTGCATCACAGGGTACCATAAAGAGAAGAGAGAGAGCAAGGGATCAAGAACCTATTTAAAGAACTAATGACCGAGAACTCCCCTAACCTGGTGAAGGAAAAAGACACACAAGTCCAGGAAGTGCTGAGTCCCAAACAAGATGAACTCAAAGAGGCCCACACCAGGACACTTCATAATTAAAATGCCAGATACCTTATGGCAAATAGAGTCTGATATAGGAAATGAAGACATGCTACAATAAACACTATGAGAGAGAATGTGATAAATGCCAGAGGAGTCTGAAAATCTAATTAATAAAACCAAAGGAGTAAAAATAGCCTTCAGCTTGTTTTTTGTTGTTGGAAGATAAAGAGACCAGGAGGTAAAGCTTTAAGAAGGACAGATAAAAATTGGATTTACAGTAATGGAAGTGAGTGAGATCATAATTCATATCAGGCAAAAGAGAATAAATTAAGCAAAAGCATGAGGATTATTTTAGTCCTTGAAAGGTGCAACTAAGTCAAACTCCCCTGATTTTACCTAACTCCTGAGCACACAGCAATACTATAACAATAACTTGAATTTCAAAGACAGTTTTGGTAATGGAACCAGTTGCATCAGACCAATTTACTGATAGGCGTGATCATGACTTTTATTTAGCCATTTTATGGTTCTATATGATTACACATACAGAATAAGTAATTCATGAAAATGGATAGCCAAACCAATGTTAAAAAAAAAAAAAAAGTCTTCCTTTGTTGACTCAGCAGGATTTGAAATCAGATTCTTTGTTGATAGTTTCCTGGTGCCATGAGTTTTTTAATCTCTGCTGTCGCACTCTTGTTCAGGCTCAGGTTCCTGTGATGGAGTGTGGGTTTTGAAGCACCATTACTTCTTACTGCAGACGCCTTTCCAATTTGAGAGCTCTACCAGTTGTGGTTCAAGATTCATTCTACCACCACCACTACCAGCAGGGGGAGACCTACTCCCTTCAGTACCACTGCGTAGGACAGAATCTGCACCTCCACCCAGCCTACTTCCTTCAGCTGTTACCTGCCCTGTCCCTGTCAGGATGTGGATTTTCAGTCCTGCATAGGATGTCATGAAAAGTTACACATGTGCTGAGCTTTATTCAAATACATTTTAAAGTATACACTATAATATATAGTTTTAAATATTGTTTTAATATTTAAGGTTAAATTTAAAGCAAGTTATTTTTAAATTATTTAAAAGGAATTAAAATAGTGTAATAGTAATGAATGTATCCAAAAGATCTAGTTTTAAATCCTATCTCTTTATCATATCATGTTGTAAAAGAAGGAACATTTCAACATGTTCCCCCATATATACCCAGAAGGGAAGATTGACCATCACCTCAATTTAAAAATGGAATAATTTCTGCTTTATGAAAAATTCATTGCATTATTTTTTCCAATTTTGCTGAGGACCAGTGGAAACATCACTACAGGATTGGCATCAGTTCTTGGACCAGCATCTGAGAACCATTATTTATTTTTTCTGAACCTTTGTTTGGCCATCTATAAAATAATTATCTTCTAGCCTTCATCAAGTATTAGAGTGCTAACCACATTACAGTGTTTAAAGAGGATCTGATGGCACAGTAAATGTGTGTATGCTCCAGTGTCCCAGAAACATGAGTCAGTGGGAGAAGAGGCGAGGGGTCCAGCCTGGCAGAGGCAGAGGTAGGGGATGGCAAGATGCATGACCTTTTTGTGCCTTTAGCAGTCAGGTGACTAGATCCCCATTGGCCAGGTTGGTTCTCGACTCATATTCTTAGGGGATACCTGGAAGAGCAGGAACAGGAATGGATAACTTTCAGGTTACAGTCAAGATGTTAACATATCAGCACAGGTTTGATTTCAGGAGCAATGGACACCCCTCCTTAAAAAAATCTTCTTGCCAATACCGGAAATTCCTATAATTGTTATTGCTTGACATGCAAATACTCTCAAACCCACCTTTTGTCATTGGAGGGTCATTACCTTCAGAGCACTTGCTCAAGAATGCCCTTGAACCCTCCTCCCTAACATTTGATTCAACTTCTGGTTGACTATTTGGAATTCCATGAAGAACTTTATAAATAAAACCTGGTGCACGCACACACACACACACACACACAGTCTTCACACCCCAGCTGGAGATAGGCAGGCCAGCCTCTTTTGACAGGCCTCCCTCCATGGGGCTGGCCAGTGTCTTTAAATCAATATCACTGTTGGATCACAACAGGTTGGATAAATGCTCGCCAGATGTTGAGTTGAAGCCTTGCCCAGTTGTTCATCAAAACTATTTGGTTTAGCTCTGGCCTGTGTTGTTCAGTTGGTTTAGCATCATCCCA